AAAATTTAAAATAGAGATTGTACAACTTGTTCTCCAGATTGAGTTGTTTCATCAAGGTCAGATACACTTTTTTTGAAAATTTTAGTATTTTTCCCGCAATAATGCGTGAAATATGTGCAGTTTTAAATTTAAGTAAAATAGATTTTATATTATATACTTAGTAAAAAAGTAAAAATAAGTTGTTTTTTTCACAAATACGGCTCCATATTTTTTCTTCAAACTTTTTATTAATTTTTTTATAAGATGACATAAACGTAGTATAGAGTAATGTTCATGGTTATTTGTTTTCATACAGTGGTGCAATGTGCATAATTAAAAAAATATTTTTTAATTGACTACAGAAAGAATATACAAAAGTGTGTTTTGTAAATTACTTTGAAGGGAAAATTGAATACGTTTTGCTGATAAAAGCAACGTTGGTTAAAGTTTCAATTCTTACTTTCGGTCACTGAACAAATTACTGAAATAGTGAATCTTATATTTTCTTGCGATCACTTGATAGAGTGTTAGCCTCTTTGTCAGTGATGGGTATTGGTTCACGTACGGTCATTTAATTATGTTTATACGTTAGCTTTATATTATATTGTTTGGGGGTGATTTAGGTAGGTACATTTTCAAAATTGCGTATTGTGTAACATCACATTAAAATGTGATTTGTTGTATTTGTGTATTAAAATATTATTCTTTTAATTCACTACTAAAGATGGTATGAGTCGGTTGAATATTTGTTATTTTTTAATATCCTCAGGCTAACATGACTGCTTTACAGGGATTGTTTTAATGCAAATAACAACTGAAATCGCAAACATACAAAAGCAAATAACTGACAGCAATAATACATTTCAAACATTCATAAATTACAGTCATTCTTTATATAAATAGAAATAACGGAAGCTCAGGGTCAGAAAATTGAATTAAATATTTGTCATATGGAAATAAATTTCTGATTCGGGATGTTTATGTTTATGAACATCACGAATGTAAATGTAATGGATATGTAAAAGAGGAGTGTGTATGTTTGATCATTATTTGACGTATTGTTTCTGTTCTTAATTCTGAGTATAATTGAGTACTTCTAACGAACCAAGGGGGCATATACAGTCATACAGAATTTTATTTTGGAAGGATTGTATTTCCTTCATACAGTATGTATATCAGAAGTGTTGTACCGCATAGGGCATGCATGCATTATAATATAAAATCTAATCCAGGTTTCAACGAGATACCTAGGGCGAAGATGTAAGGATTGTCGGTGCCTCTACAATACATTGCATAAGATGTGAGCTATTCCAAATAAAGTAATATGATGCTCTTCTTAGTCTTTTGAATGATCTGTGAGTTTATCCCCGTTCTTACACAACTTTTGCGAAACCAAATTCCAGTACTCTGATAACTATCAGGATGACCTCTACTTTTACCCCCCACATTCGGCTTTCCTCGTTTTCCAAACTCTTTTTTTAAACGTTTCTCTTCTTCCTTGGTTACGACTTGCCGAATCCAATCATCATCCATCATCCAATCAATCCATCAAACTCATTATTATTATTATTATTATTATTATTATTATTATTATTGTTATTATTATTATTATTATTATTGTTTGTTTTGCGAATCGGGCATCATGGGTCCACCTGATACGTGCATCTCACCAGAGCTCAGACTTGATGATTGGAGTAGGTGCACTTTTCTATGGGCCCATGCCAAACTGCAACAAAGGCAACACCATCTACATATATCAGTTTAGGAGGGATTAGTTTAATTCCTGTGGCATTATCACTAAAATCGCTGTGCGAAAACACGAAAAACCACGTTTTGGGAATTTTTTTTGAATCTTCTGGCCGAATTCGAAAACAAATTCTCCATTAGGAGGCCGAGACGCGTCGAATGCCACCTCACACGTTTCGATTGATGCAAGTGAAGTGGTAGAGCCGCGAGTGACGGAACAGCACAAACGCACATCAGCACACTCGGAGTTTTACTCAAATACTGTATAGGGATTTTATATGTTATGAGTTATTTCGGACGAGTAATTTTCTCTTTTGAGGTACTTTTTACAAAGAGGTCATATGACCAAACCAGTAATCCAAGTGTAAAGGCATTCTTTTAAACGCTCTCTATCGATCATGTTACAACAATATAATTAACATTCGCTTTCACAACTTCGTTGTAGAGTCTCTTGCAGGTATCCTTCATACCTCCTAATGACATTACAATCACATGATTCTGTTTTTGTTTATATTGCATATAAATGAAAAATTCTAAAAGAGTTTGGAGTACAATTTTGTACTGTCTAATGGCTGTACACTACAGCGCTCTATAAAAAATTATCATGTATCATGAACCCTTGTGCTATGCATGTACATGAATTGAGATTGTAAAAAATATATTATAAGATATAATAGAATTGTAGAGCAAAGCGACAATGCTGAGAAATAGTACTTTTTCGTTCTTGTTTCCTTTTCTTTAACATCGTATATACATTCATCTAAATTCGTTTGCATTGTGTCTCAATTTTAATGTGATCTAATATTACAACAGAATAATTTTCCAGTGGTTCAACATTCGACTATAGTGAAACTCCATTGCAGTTCTGTATCAAACACAAGCTATAAGCGATTTTATAAATAAAACCTTTTTTGTCATTACCTCACATGTTTCATATAATTTTAGTGCCACTTTTGTATTCACCGCAACATTCCATTTATTGCCTCTTCGTGTGTATTGCATTCTATATGTTGTCATTAGACTTTTTTGAATTAGTTGCTGTATTTTAGCGGAGTTCAAACCAATATAGCTAGAATAATTGGAGTTTTATCAATACAAAATTCCTGCGAAACGATTAAAAAGTAACTAGATTCGAAAAGATGTTTAAACACTTAGTAACTACTAATTAGTAATATTTTCAATTAGTTATGTACGGTCAATTAACTTGCTTCTCTTCGGTTTATCCAGTCTTCGTGTCGGCTTCAATCTTTGGCCTTCGTGTTAGCATAAAACGACCTTCAAATTGTTCAAAGCTTAATATTCTAATACATATTTTCCTTAAGAAATGCCTTTATAATAAATAATTTGCTTGGTTTAAAACTTCTTCTAAAGAATTCAGAGTCAAAGCATAGTATTTTTGGGAAGTTATAGTAAGATTGATCAAATGTCCGGGTCTATCTTTGTGTATCTGCGAGAGAGGTATTCGAAATATTTTTACACACTCAAAACTACGCTCATTTTTCTACTATTATTTGGCCATATATTTTTCAATAATTCTCTCAACACCTGATGGTCGTATTGACAATTGAAACTGCAACGTTTGAGAGAGAGAAATTAAAATACATTCAATTCTGATCAAATGATGTGAAATAATGAATGTTTGTTATTATTAGTATTATTGTGATTAGGGAACGTATTTTCATGTAAATACCTATTTTTACAGGACCAAGATTCAATGCTTTTTAGAGTTTACACGACATTCTGAATGCAGTAGAACCATTTTTATTTTTCATATTTTGGCAAAATTACGTATTTTAACATATTTTATTTATTGAAACATATTTCTTGCAAACTTTGTTACGTTTTAATACATGTATTTATACATTGAAACGGGACATTTCAAACATTTATGCAATATATAGAAACGGAATTATCTTTCTTGCAAAGCATTGTAACTATGACTATCGGACCTTCACTATGAGTCAAACTGATCTCACCTCCCCTTCATGCTTCTTGGAAACGACATACTCGGGATCAGGAATGAGCGGATGTTTATGAAGCAGAAGTAATTTCAAGCATCTACTTTCTCATGTTTCATATGGTCTATGCGTAACTCTGTCAAAAACTAACAAATATATTTTTTTCTAGATACAATGGTTCTATTGAGATTGGGGTGGGTTACATTCCCTTTATCTTCCTCCAAAATCCATCTCTGTCTATTCGGTACTGCTTTTCAGTTGATTGAAATTTAATTGAAAACATTGTGTACACTATTTCGTATTTTATACTAACGTATTTTATGTTTTGAATATAACTCTTGTCTGTAGTGAACAATTACATCCGTAAAGATAGAAATTTCTTTCAGAGGCTCTGAATTCATTTTAGGGCCTTCTCAGTGACGTTCTTTACTCGAAAATGCTATTAAGTAATAATTTTAAACACATTTCAACATTTATACACATTGGAACACCCAGATAATGAATTTTATTTTACATAATTTATATTTTTCCCACATATTTTGCAATGTATATGCACGTAGTTTGCTTTTTATACTGCACTGCATCCGGAATTACGTTTATTGCTTATTCTTCTCGAACGCGTATCCTTTCCAAACAAAACATTTAACAAAGTTCTCGCCTACGGTTACGTTTTTGCTGTCATTTCTTCGCTCCACATATCGAAGTGTTATCTCCTGGGTGTCCTTCTGTGGTTGAGTTGAAAGCCGAAGTCAACTTGAGAGCACAACTGTTGCCACCCACGCGTATAAACACATGAGCACCTCCGTAAGTCAAAGCCCGTCCGGTGATTACGTAGCCGGCGCCCGCATCTACACGTGCTCCAGTGTTACGGCCTTACGTCAGGCTTATCACAGCTACAGAAACTGAGACGATTTTATAGGAAATCTACTACTCTATTTTTGTCCCGACCGCGAATCGAACCCGGTAACGCACAACGGGAAGCTAATACGCTGATCATGAACGACCATAGATTTTTATTTCATTTATATTATGTATAAATTCGTATTTTAGAGTTTTCAGTTTTCCAAAGATGCAAGATCAAGAAATTTCTTACACATTAAAAACAAGTAACCCAAACGTGAAGGGCTTTGAATGAGTAGAAATAAATCAGAAAACGTATTGCAAATGATACGCTATGAAGTGGTTCAGTGTTATAATAAAACTTTTAAATTCATCTGTTATGATGTATTTATGAACTCACTATGTTAAGGTTAAGTTCACTAGTATTTTACTTGTCATGCGAATGCCCGGAGTCCTAATAGGGCACATGACTGAGTGGTGGGCCTTGTGTGCGCAGGTGGACCAGGAGAGCGGGGAATCCCCGCTGCCGCCCGGCGCCATGGAGGGCAGCGGCCGGGGCGACCCGGGGATGCCGCCCTTCCCGCCCCCGCCGCCCGGCCCCGACGGCGGTGAGTGCTCGCCCACGCGCCCGCCAACGCCACCGGCACGCTGGCCGAGCGCCGCGCCCACACAGGAAGGAACGAAATGAGCTTACCAGCAGCCTCTCGGCACACTAGCTCAAAGCCCCACCCACCCAAGAAGGAAGGAAATGAGCCTACCAACACCTACCGACACCACAACGAAAAAAAGAATCGTTGGTGTATACCAGATCCATGATACTGTAATACGTTTCCTTCGTACAGTTTTATGGATCTGGTATACTCCAACGGTTCTTTTTTTTCGGTGATACCAGCAGCTTCATCACACTAACCAAAAGCCCCACCCACACAAGAAGGAAAGAAATGAGCCTTCAACGCCTACCAACACTACACCGAAAAAAAGAACCGTTGGAGTATACCAGATCCATGATACTGTAATAAGTTTGCTTGTTACAATATCATGGACGTGGTATACTCCAACGGCTCTTTTTTTCGGTGTACCAGCAGCTTCATCACACTAACCAAAAGCCCCACCAACACTTGAAGGAACGAAATGAGCCTTCATCGCCTACCAACACTTTCAGCAGTCTCTCAGAGCACTAGCCTAAAGCCCCGCCCACACAAGACACGAAATGACCGTACAAACCTGCCAACACTTGCCAACACTTGCCAACACTTGCCAACACTTGTCAACACTTGCCAACACTTGCCAACACTTGCCAACACCTGACAACACCTGACAACACCTGACAACACCTGACAACACCTGACAACACCTGACAACACCTGACAACACCTACAAATACTTACTAACAGCTTTCAACACCACCAGCAGCCTTACACCACATCACACTAGCCGAAAGCCCCGACTACGCAAGGAGAAACAAGATGAACCTACAACACCTATCAACACTTCCAGCTGCCTCTCAGCGCACTAGCCGAAAGCCTCGCCCACACAAGAAGGATCAAGATGAACCTACAATTCCTACCAACACAACCAACAGCCTCTCAGCACTCTAGTGAAATGCCCCGTTCTCATAAGAAGGCATAAAATGAGCCTACATCGCCTACCAACACCTATCAACACCTATCAACACCTATCAATACATATCAACGCCTATCAACACCTATGAACACCTACCAACACCTACCAACACCTACCAACATCTACCAACATCTATCAACACCTACCAACACCTACCAACACCTACCAACACCTACCAACACCTACCAACACCTACCAACACCTACCAACAGCTACCAACATCTATTAACCCGTCCCCAGCACCTACCAACCCGTCCCCAACAGTCTCCCAACTGCTGCCACACACAGCGAGACAACTCTCTCAATAAGAATATTAAGTTTACAGAGATGACTTCCATTATTTCTTCATTGTAAGAGAGAGACTGTGTCATTTTGTAGCAGCACTGGTTAATTTTTATTTATAACCAATTTCTGTCACGTTCAGTGTCGTGAAGCCCATTCTTGTTGCAGAGTTCTCGTTGCGGGGACCTAAGGGAGAGAAGGGTGAGAAGGGCGAACGGGGCCCCAAGGTAAGTGGCGCCAATTATTCTTTGACTCGATTGCACAGCCACACAAAAAAAAATGTTCGGGTCTGGGAATCAGACCATGTTTTCGATATATTTTTGGAGTCGCTAAAATTGGATCTGATTTCAAGTTAACTTCATCACATCAGGTATTTTAATACAGTTATAATAATTTTAATGTTATATGATAGAGAAGGTGGCATTGGCCCCTGACGGGACAACACTCATCACGTTGTACGGCAAATTGCCTATATCGTTGGCGCGAGATCACTAGCCTTCTTTCCAAGCAGACACGGATTTGTATGTTTTCAGATAATGTGCAAAATCTGATGTAATGAAGTTCAATGGACTTCAGTTTCGGTTTCAGCTATCCCAATAACATACAGGTAACATGGTCTGACCCTCGGTTAGAAATATCTTTAACTTTGTATATTTTTTTCATTTTAAATAAAAAATCTGGAGTAATGGAGTAAAAGGGACACCGGATTTCGATTTATCGACTCGAAAAGCATATAGAAAACATGGTCTGATCCACAGACACGAATCCAATATTTTTTGTGTAGCTGTGTTATTCGTTTACTAGATTCTATCACACAAATTTCTTTTTATTTCCCCGTTGAGATATGTTGTATGACTACAATATTTGTGTTGTTATGCAGTGGGGATGAATAAAAAAATTCTAAAAACTAGTCAGATTTTAATATTTCAAAAAGTATATATCACTAGCTTAGAAATGAACATTTTTCTACAAAATTGCTTATTTTACAGAAAATGTTGAACTCTTTAATTAGAAAGCATTTATAACATGAAGACAGTTCCATTTCACCTTCACTACAGTAATTTATGACACGAGTGCTAAAAGTGGTATTTTATGTTTCGAGTAGGAAATTGGCTCACTACCAATAGATCGAGTACCGGAATCCTACGAACAAAATAAAATCCATTTTACCACTTGTGTCATATACTATCTTTTAGACACCCTTACTGACTTCATGCTCAAAAAATACCCTTTTCACTACGGGCTGTCTAAAAGAGTATTACAATACTTTCACTGTTACTTGATAAGGTTGCTCTATCCGCAGGTTTATAGAGAATGAATTCACAAAGTCTAAACTTCCATCCAAAAACTATAAAATGTTTCACATGGTCTTTGAAGTGTGTGATGTTTCCCTTACTACTACGCATACTTACTTCTTCTTCTTCAACTGTTTCTACCCCTTAGAGTTTGCCGTTTTCGATTTCCATAATTCTCGGTCCTCCCATTGACCCTCTTCCAATCCTTTTTCCTCCATTACCTCCTGTATATGGCTTCTTTCAGGTATCCAATTTACAATTTGTTTTGGCCATCTCTCATTTCGCAAATGAAAGATACTTACTTCTTCGGTTGCATTTATTCAATTTTTCTATAAACACACATTACAAAAACAATTTGAGTTTTCTTTGTTTTAATAATATAATTTTTGTTACATACGTCTTTGCAAAATTTTATAATAAATGCAAATGAAGAACACGTAGTAACATGTGAAACAACGTGCTCACCTGAAACATGTGTGAACATGTGAATCATAATACTTGTAATAAAATAACGTTCATGCTAGACTTTGTGAACTGATTGTCTACAAATCTGAGGATACAACAGTATTTTCTAGTGAGTTTAAGATAATGAAAACATGGTTGGTTTCGACTATCAACAATCATTTTCACTGTTCCTTTTTATTTTTGTGTTATTTTTTACCTGTAATATCATTACTTTCACGTTTTTATGTGCAATAATGATCTCTTAATGACCTCTTGATAATCTCATAATCAACTTAATGGAAAATAATTAATTTTTAAAAATTGATAAAATATTTCTTTAATTTATACTTCATATAGTTGAGATTTTTCATATTTTTAAAGTTAATTTAATTATACTTTTGCTAGTGCTCTAAAAATGTAGAAAGTTATCACACATCATCTACAAGCATTCCCCCACACCCTGAAAACAGTGAAAATGATATAATTGAAGTATCTAGGGAAGTTGCGGTAGGAATTAGAATGTGTCCTAACTATTTTTTGTTTGCCCGGCGCTGAGCTTGCGTGCGCGTGTGTCGACAGGGGTCGCCCGGCGAGGCGATGCGCGGGCCCCCCGGTCCCCCGGGCCCCCCAGGGCCGCCGGGGCCCCCCTTCTCCAGCAGCAGCGACCGCAGCGCCGACCGCGGCTACGAGTTCGGCTCCGGCGAGGGCCTGGTGAGTTTACCGCACGCGCCGCCACCTCCTCCCGCGCACTGCGATCGCTCGGGACGGACAATAGACACGCTACGCCAATGCAGCCATTAACGTACATTTGAGCTCAAGTTGCGGAAGGCCATGTATATTTAATCGCGAGAACGTTTGTGCTGACTTACTTCATCTCTGATCTATTTTGTCAATAAAAAAAAATAGAACATCAGAAACTGACTGCGCGCAAACTGTAAACTCCGGCTAACGGAAGGCTGGATCTCTGTTCCACTGAGTTTTTTTTAAATAACTTTATGGGGAAATTCTACACGCTGTAACTGTCCAAAAGCAGGAGTGGATGAAGAGCTCATTACGATGTGTCCCGTATGTAACATTGCACCGAAATGCCCGTTCGAGCGCCATTGAAGTCGTGTAGAAAAAAACGGAGCACTCAAATAAAAAAGGAAAAAGGGGGAAAATGGGTTGTGATCCTACCCGCCGCGACGCGTGGAAGGTCAGCAGTCGTGTCACATGGTCTGGGGGGGGGGAGGTTCCCCTTCCCCCGGCCCCATTCCACCGAGTGGGGGAGGGGTCGGCACTATAATTACCGTGCGTGTTAACACGGTATTATAATGAGCAGGGCAATAACAAATGCCGGTGCCGAGGCGCGTCGGTGGCAGCGCCGCGGGCGCGATCTGGTGACAAGGCCCGGTATTGCGTCCGCCAGCGCCCCGCCCAGCGCCGCGCCGCGGCGTCGGGGCGAACAGCGCCACTGTGTGGCGCTCGCTGCGGAATGTTTATGCAAAAGTAATTCGTTCAAACACGACCTCGCCTCTTGGGCGCGCCGTAGCCGATTTAGTTCGTTTCCAAACGACTGCGTACAGCTTTTCAGTGCGCGCTTAACGATACTCGCGGATGCGTTCAGGAAATTTGGTCAATTACTCGTACTGATGTTTGTGCAAATAAAAAAAAGCAACTGAATACAATGGCAAAACTTCACAAAGGTTAATCTCTACGCAAATATAGTTGGAAAAACTCTGCAGATTTTAACAAAATTAGAGACAAAATACGGCGAAAAGAGGTATTAAAATAGACTTTTTTAGTTAATTTCAGAAACAGACCCACGTTTATGAAAGCGTTGACGTACGGGTGTCTTGTAATAAATGTTAAAAAGTTCTACGGTATAGAGAGTTTTCGAAAAATGATCACGTTTTGCCAATGAAGATATACTAAGAAGTCGTTATGTGAAGTATTCATGATTGTAAGGCAACTATTTATGTACAAGTGTTCGGCAGATCACCTAGCGAACTAGTGAAGGTGATTTTATGTACATGCCGCAGGTTTCTAAATGCGGGTTTGCATAACAAATAGGAAAAGCTCCGTAATGTAATATTTTTCATCATATGAGGCGTTCGGAGTACTTGAGAATCAAGGCGCATTAGCAAACGTTTTAGAAAAACCGGCGTTAAGTTTTTACGCAACATTTAATGTAATTTGATTTAATTTAATTAGTGTAAGAACAGTGAAAAATTGACTGTGACGTATGGGGAAAAGTAGCATCTGCCCACGTTTCAGGGAAACTCTTACACGTTCAGGCGTTTATAAGCGTTTTTGTTTTCAAGTTTAGGAATCAATCTTTTAAGCCCGAAAAAAAGAGTTTCAGATGGAGACTTTAAATACGAAATATGTACAAAATGACCAAAACTGGACTTGATCCCCATGAGCACTGTACACCTCATATATTCATCGACCAAAACGTCATTTTCTACCATCTACATTCCATAGAATGTTGCAATATTTACTCCGAGACACTCTGCATGTAGTAAGTGCCACGAGAAGTTTTCTACCGGCATATCCGGCGTTGCTGGCCGCGTCGTCCGCCGGGGAGTTTGCGCTGTCGGCCGCCGGGGGCGCGGTCCCGCACCCGTCAAGCTGCGAAATGTTAAGCGCTGTTCGACGACACTTGGAACACGGGACGCGGCACGGCGCGGCTCGGCTCGAAGCGAGGACGTGATATTGCGTCGCTCGAGCTTTATTTTAATCTTCTTTACGACGCGTGCGCGCTAATTAATTCTCGCCCTCATTACCATTCGTTGTCGAGAATGCCTGGCACTTCTGTCGCCCGGAGCCGAACCTGACTCCTCGTGTGGCGGAGCTACCCGCGAGGAGATTAAGTTAATTCATATTTTTACATCAAAAAATGGTCCGTTTCGGTATGTTTTGTTTGGTGATTTGCTGTGACTTCGAGGTAATTTTAGTTACGTCGTAATTGGGATATTTGAACACAAATTAATTGCGAGCTCTTTCAGTAGTTTGCCGAAACGTAAACGCCATTTCATGGTATCATTAGCACATTTTACAACCAACAACTATGTGCCAATTTCTAATGATGCTATTGTTAGGGATAGGGCTAAATATTGAATGGCTGATTCACGTTCCATAATTGGAAAAAATATCCAATGCATTTTCTTATTTTTCCTTTTGCGAAGCATTTATGACATTAGACATATTTTGATATTGTTGATAAATAACATTTGTTTGAGCAATTATATCAAGACAAAACTAATTGTACAAAACTTCAATAAAACTTTAAACAACTTGAACAAAAACGTCAATTTTTTTAGAAGCTGCATGAAAAACTTTTTCATCGAGACCGTAATTTAGTCTAAGCATTCGGAATAGAACGTTTTATTATTACTTATATCATAAACATTCTTATTTCGCAAACGAAATAAAATAGTGCATTGTTGATGTCTTTATTAGAACAGTAGAACAGTCAGCACAAACCTTCCATAAATCGTATCACTTATTCTTCTAATGGAAAGTATTCTTACCGTTCCAACAAATTGCTTAAATCTTGAGGAATTTTAACAATGGCCATTTACTTTTGTATATAATGTTCGATTTTATCCGACAAAATATATTACAAAACCTGTTTTGAAATCTATTGGCGTCCGTGTCAGAGTTGTGCGATTCCACCGTTCCAATCACCGAGATTCCCCCCTCAGCTCGTGATGACGAAATTTATCGAAACATCGATATTTCGATATATCAACAAAAAGTTTTCAATGTCGATTTCCTTCAACAAAAACCTCGATGTTTGAAATATGATAAAATATGGTATTTTTCCACCGTGTTTCTATTTTTAAATAGAGTTTAAAATGAAATACCGGTATACTTTAATGTTTGATCGCATGTAAGTAATATGTTAATAATAATGTTTATTGAATGTAAAGAAGGAAATAAAAGTAAAGGATATCGTGTTTTGCTATTATCCCATTGGTTCACTTTCAATTATACATCCTCGGAGTAAAACACTCTGTATGTAACATACAAATGCGTGGATAATCGTTTAATGAATATTCTGCCTTAAGTCACTTTGACATCTAAATTTTCTAATCCATATTCTATGTCGACAAATATCAAAGTTCAGTTTAACATATTACCACGTACAAAATCATCAATAAACTCTTTTTTTTTTTTTTTTTTTTTGAAAATATCGATGTTTTTGGAAAAATATATTGATCTGGAAAACAACATAGAAAATGAAAGAAAAAAAACGATATAAATATATCGATATTTCTGGTGGAAAATATCGATGTTTTTTGTCATCCCCACCCTGAGCGCTCTGCTCACCACCATCTTCTGTTTCACGCTGCGCGCAGAGCTCGTATAGGCACCAGGTAACGTATGACGACCGTCTCCGACACATCGGAGGGAGCGGTTGGCAACTCCGCCTCCGCCACCGCGTACATCGCCCGCCGCCACGTATAAGCGGCGACGCCGACGGATGGCGCCCCAGAGTCGATGTGTATACTTCGATTCTTCTATCGTGGCCGATGACATTAGATCATTGTTGCTCCTCCTGCTTCATAAAACGAATCTTCTTTTTTAATTAATTCGCGAACGTCCTTCTCAGCGGGTCCTTTTTAAAAACGTGCTTACCACTGTTAAAAAGATAATACACTTTTTGATAAATCGTATAAGATTCATTTTATGAGGTGGGAGGTGTAAGAATGACCTATGTCATCGGCCACTATAGAATAATCGCAGTACAATGCTCAATAATTCACAAGGCACTCGCCCAAGAGGGTATGGGCTGTGGCGGCGGCG